AGAAATCCTAAACAGTCGGAGCTTTGCCACTAACTTAGGCAAACCCATTCCCTCTCTGGGCCTTAAATTCCTAGTTGCAAGATACAGAGCTGATGTATAGAGTCAATGCCTGAAGCCCAGATAAGTCAAGCAGTATTCTAATGTCACACAGCAAGTTAGCAACAGATGATGCAATCTAGACCCAGATCTCCTGATTTTACTTAAACCACCCTGCCTCCCACTCAACACAGGCGATGATACAGGCAAAACACACACGGAGCCTTTTTTCCCTCCAATCTCTGGCTCTTATTTCTGAAAAACAAACAAACAAACAAATATATTTTGCCCTGGGGCTCACTGCTGCAAATGATATTCTCCTTTCTCCCTAACATCCTTCAGCAGTTACAGTGTCTCGTCTCTTCTCCACTATAGTTTTCTCACCCCACAACACACACACACACACACACACACACGCACACAGGCACGCACACACACTCATCCTCATCATTCAACTCTTCCTTTTCCAACAGCAAAAGAAAGTTTAGACTAGAAGTGAACTGATTCAAGTACGAGAACCTCGTTCTAGTGCTAAACAGGGCCATAACTCTGCCCAGAAGCCAATCTGACAAAATGGAATTTGTTCTCAGAGAGAAGGACTTTTCCCCTATACTGTATCATTTGTCAAGTAACATTGTCATTTCTCCCACTGCAGCATAATCACAGAATGAAAGCCCCAGATGGAATGCACGTACACAAGAGGGCGGACTTAACGGTTGATAAGAGGCCCTTTCTTTATTTGCATTCTAACCGTTTTTTTAGAGAACTGGCAAAGTGCTCAATGTAGAAGGATAAAGGACAAAAAAGAAAATTCCTTTCCCTGTTTTTATTAACAATGTGGGATAAGCAACTAGTGCTCTTGGATCTTGTCCAGAAACCATTCCTGTCATGGAGCATGAAGCCAGTCCCCAGCATGGAGTCCTATTAAATGATCTCCCTTGGAACACCAGGCTTCCCCTCTCCCAGAAAACCTTCCAGCCACCTTAACTAATGACTGTTCTCCATACACAGTACATATTTTAAGGTTTCCATGCTGTTCTTTCTACCTGGGTCCCCCTTCCTCACTACTCCTCCGGCAAACTCAAACTCGTCCTTTGCGCAAACCCATACAACAGCACTTAGCTCATGATGATGGTTTGTTCCTCGGACTTCCACCTCCCTGAATGAAATGTGAAACCCCTGCAGCCTCCACGCGGAGCGTGGCGCCTGCCACGTAATAGATGTCCAGTTATTATTTGTCGTGTTAAAAGGAGGAACGTCTTCTAAAACACATTTGCTTACGCTGTAACTTTACTGGCTGCTGCCTACTGCCCTCCAAGAGTCAAACGTGGTCAGAGAGGAAGGGAGGGGCCGGAGGACCTCTCAAAGTCAAATACCCGGGAGGAGAGCAGCAAAGCCTCAACACACTTGCTGATCCTGTGAGCTGTCCGTGTTGCTCAAGGGTGTCAGTGGCAGGGTGCCTGGAGCTCTCAGTCCCCTGGGACTTACTTACCCACCCCCTTCCCCCCCGCCCAACCTTGTGTGCTCCTTACTCTCTGAGAACTCTGGCTCAAAGATGCCTTCCATGATCCACAGACCCTAAAGAAGACCGGAATTCTGCCTTAACTCCTTACTCTCCCTCTGGCACCTGGCTTCCCTGGAATTTACAAGACTTCATTCACGCCTTAGGACCACAGTATATACCTTTTCCGGGACGGGTTTTCACTAGTTGATGCTCAATGGTAAATTTAATAGTATTTTCCTGCTCCAATCTCTTACCCCTTGGCTATACTGTGCCTATGAGAATCAATCTATAAAGCTTTAATAGCAGAAATAAAGCTTTATGCTGACCATTTTCCTTAGACCACAACAATAGCTCCCTTTAAACTACCTAAATATGCACTACACATATGGGTAAAAGATCACCAATGTGCATACCGGACCCCAGAGTTCAGGAAAATGTAACAACTCATGGAGGTTCACAGGTTCCAAACACTGAGTCTAATTCCATATGCTGAGTTGGGGCTTTTAGAAAACTGTGAGTCCTAAATCTGTGACATCTGCCTTTTCTGGTGCCAGTATTCTGAACAGGGCAATCTCTTCTTGGACTCTGCCTGCCGATCTCTGGAGTCAGCTCAGATAAGATTTGGCCACGTGGGTAAAGCCTGGGCAATGGGGCTTTGTTCTTCAGCAAAATAGAATTATCTTCCAATTCTGCTGGAAGAAACCTAGACGCTAACGATTTAATGCTGTTGAAAGTGCAGAGAGCATCTGAGACAGAAGTGCATACCTGACCGTCAGAGGTTATATGTGCAAAAATACAAGGTATGTATTTTTAAAGGATGACGGTGAGAAATTTCAAGTTTGACAGTTGATTCTAGAGACCATTTAGAATGGATGATTTTATGTGATTTTTATGAAGACTGTAGGTGACATGCAACCCAACCTCCCCCCCCCCCAAAAAAAGGGCAGTTCTGATTACAAACCTTCAGGGAACACAAAGTTAGCACGGTTTCATGCCCAAAGGACGGACTCCGCAGGACGTTCTGTCTCCCAAAAATGTGTAACCCTCATATGCACAGAACTTTGCAGTTAACCAGTCCTGACTTGTCCAAAAGACAATTTAGATGTGATCAGGCTCATCGTTCAAGCATTTGGAATTCACTCATTCATGCAAGCATACATCAAGTACCAAAAGTCAAGTTCATGAACCCTAAAGATAAACCACAGCCTTTTCTAACATGGGTCCTTGCATTTTCTTCCTTGGTGGTGGAATAGAAGACTAGTCCCCCTAGTGTCCTGCCACCGTAGGTGGCTGAAGGATGGAGACACTCCTGCATTCTGCATCCACGTTAAAGCACAGCTCACGAACCCAGAACCCCAAGGAAACCTTCAGATCCCCCTCCCCCGCGACGAGATGGAAGCTTGCTGGGACCTAGGAGGACACGGGAAAATCTGACCTTTCATTTCCAAGGCCCTTACAGTGCTGGTTTAAAAGCCAATGTGATCTGCATTACCTCACACCAGAAAGTTAACCCACTAGCCAACATGCTTCACTACGTGAAGGAAAAGGACCCACACCTGTCCGTGGACGACTGCCCACTCCGGAGTGAACCAACATTTGCTCTGAAAAACCTCCCTATCCTACTGGGCCGATTTGTTTCCTGTTCTTGCTGCTACTTGAAAACCCACTAACGTCTAAATCTTGACGACTTCTGCCTCTCTGTTTCAATTAGTTTTCTTCCTGGTATAGATAAAAGTTTTCTTCCAGCCTCGATAAATGTGTGTTCTCCTCAAACAATTTTCACTGAAGTAAAACACTCCTGAAATATAAAGGTACACTAAGATGTGTGAAACCTTAAAGCCAGGTTTTGTTGTTGTTTTTAATCCCCAGTGAGGACTCATGCCTGTGAGTAATTCATTCATGTCACCCATTTGTGAGAGATGCAAAAAGAAAACACCACTTATTCCTTCCCTAATTTAGAACTTTCCCTTAAGTCTACCAAAGCTGACTCCTGGGGAGGGAAGACAAGAGAGGTAAGGAGAAAAATGAGCCTGAAGTGACTGCATCCACAGAGTGAATAAGCACTTTGGGTTTCCACCTGTGTCGGAGAGGGACCAACCTGCATTTGGGGGTAGTGACCACCCCACCTGCTGCCTCACATCATCCTCCCCCACCCCCCACCAAGAAGGAAGCAGAAGCCTGAGTGCTCTCTTGGGGAACTTACATAAGACCCTGTAAAACTTCCTGTGACATTCACGGAAAATAGAAACTGCTATTTTGCTCCCTCAGGAGATCATTGTAATGGACTGAGTGACAAAATTCACGGATTCAGAGTTCAACAGAAACCTGCTCAACCGAGGTACATCAGCTCAGGGACAAGAAAAATCCATCCCCATTAAACAGGGTCACCGGGGGGATGGATTCAATGTAGGAGAGACAATCTGTTCCCTCCTAAGTGACCCATTTAAAATCAGATTGTTCCAGGGAAATCTTACAGGTTTAATAAATTTCAAACTGATGGGCGCCTGGGTGGCTCAGTGGGTTATGCCGCTGCCTTCGGTTCGGGTCATGATCTCAGGGTCCTGGGATCGAGTCCCGCCTCGGGCTCTCTGCTCAGCAGGGAGCCTACTTCCTCCTCTCTCTCCGCCTGCCTCTCTGTCTACTTGTGATCTCTCTGTCAAATAAATAAATAAAATCTTAAAATAAATAAATAAATAAATAAAATAAATAAATTTCAAACTGCCAAGGACAGCCTTGTAGGATTGAGGTTCCTTAAAAAGGGAAATGTTAAAGAAAGTAATAAAGCAATAAACAAAATAACTTAAGGATGCAGGAACTTAGCGGAGTCAGCCACTGCACCCTTCAGCGGCGAATGCCTGGATCGGTATACAGGGATCACTCATCCTAAGCAGTTTCGTCTAACAGGACGGCCACTCTGCTTAGGTTCCCTCTCTACAGACAGCGCTGCCACCCAAACACTCTGTCCTACAGAGGAACTAGAAAGCTCTGACTGCTCACCCTAAATCGCCTTGACTCTCTACCACAAGGAGCAAAGAAAACTTCTTCACAGCATCACACCTGGAAAGACAGGTGAGGATCACCCAAGAGGGACAGCGGAAAAACACAGCAGGTCCCCCAAAACACAGGTGCCCATAACTAACAAGCTGCGGGGACGGGGGAGGGGTCCGAGGGGGGGGGGGGATGCGAGATGAAGGCACACCACCTCCCGCTGTTGACGGGAAACTCGTCCTTGTTTGCCCCGGGTTAGCAGCCTCCGTGCTTAGGAGCGGGGCAGTCCCTGGGAAGGGTCCTGGGGACATCAGAGACTTCTGGACTTCCCTCCGGCCTGTCCAGGGCTCCTGACCCAGGAGCTGAGGTTGTGCCCTCACAGGGGGTACCAGCTACAGATTCGGAGAACTTGTCCCGCGCGGCTCATCAGGGCGCCCCCCGCGGAGGCTCTCAAGCACCCCCGGGCTCTTACCTTGGCCGTGACTGCCGCCAAACACAGGGAGACCGCGTAAGAGCTGGGTGGCGCGGCGGCACCGCCGCCTCCTCCTACAAGGCGCAGGGGTCCGGGTCGAGATCGGGGTCCCAGCAGGCGCTGCCCTAGTTCAAGCGGCGGTGCCAAGCGCAGACTTCGGGGCGGTCCCCGGCTCCAAAGGGGGGGGGGGGGGGGGGGGGGGGAGTCCGGGCCGCCCGAGCTAAGCACTGTCCCTTCTTCCTTTCCCTCCGGCGCCACTGCCTGGAACTGATCCCTGCCCCAAGGACTCTTCCGAGCCGGGGGCGCCCCGCATGGGCAGGGGCCTGCGTCCTCCACGGGCTGGGTCCGGGAAGGGGGCGCTGGGGAGAGACGCCGGGCGGCCGCCTGGGCCGGCTCCACCTCCCGCGCTCCCCGCCGCTTCGCCCCTTCAGGGCAGGGCCTGCCCGCTCCCGGCCCCGCGAGGCGAGAGCGGCCGCGCCCCCAGCTTTGGGCGCCCAGGCTCCGCTCGGCGGCGGGGCAGCAGCGGTCCGGCCGGGCCGGACGCCGAGCGAGGCGGTAGAGAGGCTGCAGCCGGCCGCGGCGCCCCCTCCCCCCGGGCCTGCGCCGCCCGCCCGCCCGCGGCTCCGCGGGAAGGAGGCGCTGGAGAGGGCCTCGCCCCGGCCTGGGGCGCGGGGCCGGGGGCGCGGGGGCCGGGGGAGGTGCCCCGGGAAGGTCACCGGAGCGGAGGCGGGGCGCAGAGCGGTGGGTGCGGGGAGCCGAAGCGGGCGGCCCCGCTGCCGCCGGGAGCGCTCGCCGGCCTCGGCCGCCGCCGCCTCCGAGACGCGCCGGCTTCCCCGAGCGCCCGGAGCTCAGAGCTGGGCGGCTGCTGCAGCCGCCGCCGGCAGCCGGGCGCCGCTGGCCGGAGCCGGCGCGCGATCCCCGCCTCCCGCGCCCGGTCAGGCGGGGGCCGCCGCGCGGGGGCCGGCGAAGAGGGGAGCGGGCGGGCGGGCGCTGGGGTCCGGGCTCCGGGCTGGCCCCGCCGCCGCGTGCCCAGAGCGCCGGGCTCGCTCAGCAGCTGCAGTGACTGTGTGTCTGTGTCATGTCTGTGCAGCTGGGGGGGACCGCGAGCCCGGGTCGGGCTCCGGGCGGGGGCGGGGCCAGCGCGCGCCTCGGTGCCCGCCCCCACCCCGTGACGGCGCGGCCGGCCAATGGCAGACGCCACAGCCGCACGGACTTAGAGGCCTCCCCCGCCTGGGCTCCGCCTCCTCGCGCGAGGCTCCTCCCTTCCACTTCTCTGGCTCGCTCTCACGCGGGTGGAAGCAACACCCGGAGCCGGGATCACGGCCGGGGTCCGGATGAAAGCGTGCAAGCTGGGAGCTCCCCGCCCTTCTCCCCCCACCCCGGCCGCTCCCGGCCGCCTCGGGCTTGGCCAGCCTCGCGGAAAGAGGGGGAAGGGAAGAGGGACGGGTCCGCAGCTGCCGCTGTCGAGACGCCGGCAGGCTCGCAGGGCCGTGCAGCCTGTCCACTCCCCCATGTACAAAACCGCCGTCGTGGGAAGTAGGAAGTTTCCCCGCCTCCACTTCTACTCGGGTTCGCCGCTTCTTTCCGAGGTGGGCAGGGTATGGGGAAGCCTGAGGCTGCGAGGAGCCACGATGAAGGGCTTTGACAGCATTATTTGCGGCTCTCTATCCAAGAATCCGGTCCAAGGCTCCCTGTTCTTTCGGGAAAACTGCATTTCTTTGCCACCACCACCACCACCACCACCACCCCGCACACACACACACACACACACACCCCCCTGCACGCACAACACGCCCCTCCCCGTTCTGATTTCATTCTTGCTCTTCTTCCTGGCATACGAGCCCCGCGCGCGACATCCCATTGAATGGACTTCCAGCCTCCCAGCCCTAAAGCCGAGAGTGGGGCGCCGAGAGTCCTCCGAAGCTATGAAGCTACGGAAAGAGTGGGTGAAATCGGCTGGGGGGCGGGGGTGTGACAGTGGAATGGAAGGAGGAGGCCTGGAGAGAAAAACCCAAAGGAGGGGAGAACAGGCCCGGAGAGGAGGAAGACGCAGAAGGATGGGCAACTCTGACTGGAAGACCGGAGCTCCGGCGCAGGATCCAGCTCCCGGGTTTTTCCTCAGCTCGTCCCAGGGTTTCTGGGGTCCCCTTCCCCCCAACCCCGGGTCCCCACCTCTCCCCGGCCCGGCGGGCACGGGGTCCCAGCCTCGCCTCCGCGCGCTTCTCTCTCTCGGCCCTAGGGCTTAGATGAGGCAAAGGGAAGCCCACCTTACTCTAGGAAGGGGCAGGGAAACGATGCAACAGCCCAGAGAAAGTGCAAGGAGGGGAGGTGGGGTGGTGCATAATGAAAGGGAGCCGAGCTGGGGCTGCGGTTCCGACCACACTCCCCAGAGGTCAGGCCGGGGGCCCAAGGGTTTCGGAGGTTTGGTCCCCCACTCCGCTGGGGACCTGGCTCCCGCCAAGTAACCCCGCTCTTCGCCTTCAGCTCGACCCAGCCGGCACCCTTCCGCCATGCCCCCCGTTCCCTCCAGCCTCTTTAGGCAACGACCCCCCGCCCCAGTGCCCCACCCCCACTCCTCGTGCACCACCGCCCGCTCTCCCCCAGTTCCGGAGCGCTGTTTACCTAATCGCAGCTACAGACCGAGCAGAGGAGAATGCAAAAAGAAGGTAGCGGTTACACAGCGGCGTCCCCGGCGAAGAAGTAAAAAACGTTTGCCCTGGAGCTTCAGGATAAGTTCGCTGTGAAGCTGGGGTCCTGCTGCCTTATCTCCGCGGGGATGAGTCTCACCCTTCACGTTTGCAGGGATAGGAGATCGTATCTGGTTTTGATGTCACTACCGTGTCGGACAAGAATATTGTATGATAAAATATAATCTAATATCCTAGAGACCATTCAGTGTCAAAGTTTAATGCCAATCCTTTTAGCTCGAACGCTACTCCCTTCTCCCTCTGACGTGCAGCTCTGTTCTAGAACGCACTGAAAACAAGGGGATCATTTTTATTTTTTGCGGGTCGACTGCCCTTCCTACTCTTCCTCCTCCCCTACTTCAACCCCCGCCCTGGAACCGGGTAAAGTTAAAGCAAGAATTTTGGGCTTGCTTTTTATTCATTGCTTTGCTTCACTTCATTAGGGGTGTAAAATGCATTATTACAACACATTAGCATATTAATAATGGTAACGTGACTGAGGAAGCCGAGGGAGACCTGAAATTTACAAGCAAAGGAGAAATAATGAAATCATATTAAAAAAAAAAAACTAAAAGATAAGCCTGTAGTAAAGAAACATCTCCATTATAATTACCCAAGTGTAGTGCATTGTCTAGATTGGATTTTAGAAAGAAAAATATGACCATTGAGAGGGAGCAATATTCACTGTGGTCAATAAGATACATTGAAGACATATTTCATTATTAGAGGATCTCACAAAAATTACTTGCATCAGTCAAATGTCACCTTAAATGCATAAAGCTTTGCAATATCAGTTCAGTATTGCAGTGTTTTGAACTCAGTGGCATATCTAATGTTCTAAATGATAGGAATGTTGTCAGAGTGAACTATTCCACAAACGAGCCCTTCTGTTAGTTAAATATCATGTGAAGCCCCAAATAAAAAGCATCCCTTTGCCCCACCAATGGGATGGATAGGGGTGTGTGTGTGTGTGTGTGTGTGTGTGTGTAAAGCCTAAGGTAAGATGTACTTACCTATGAATTATAGCCCTCTGACACAAACCAGGATATAAATGTCTTAAAAGGATTTCAGCTATGACATAATATAGTATGAAGAATGCAGAATAAAGTATGTAAGGTGATTTATCAGTTATTTCTAAAGATTGTGCAATGCTTTTGTTAAAGACTGAGAAGTGAAAAAATATTGAGCCCTCTAAACCAACCGTTATCTGTTCCTCTCCACACAGTTATTGCACCTGTCATAGGAGAAATTCAGAAAGGTCTTTTTTTTTTTTTAAATCAGGGTCCAGGAGACCTAATCCTTAAAAACAAAACAAAACAAAACAAACAAACAAACAAACAAAACACAAACAAAAAAAAAAAACCCTGTCTTAAATTAGCCACTAGGGGGCCCTAAAGGCATCTCAAAGAGGAAGTCGGGAAACCTGCTCTCACCACCGCTTTTCCCTGTCTCATTTTCTGTGAACCTCAAGGAACTGGAATGGAATAAGAACATGATGCAAATTCTGGAGGCAGATTGGGTTTTACGTTTTAAAATACCAGGGTCCCCCCACCCCCCACCCCAGCATATAAAATAAAATAGTAAAATAAAATATTTTTAAAATTAGAAAATAAAAGGCCAGAGTCCCCTTTTCCCAATTCTTGTCTTGCCTCCAAAAAATCATAATAATAATAATAAAGAATATTATGCTTACCCAGAGGAAGGTGGCCTGATACTCTTACAATCTTAAAGTCAACTCAATTACTTTTACTGTTCCAAATAGAACCTCCTTTCTAAGATTTCACAGCTGTTTTCTGAATGTTTTGAACATTGTTCAGGTGTTACATAGGCAAAGCAAAGAATCCTCATGGGGGCGATAGGAAAACTACACAACCTCTAACACAGGGCGCCTGCCAGCCAACTTAGGGGAAGTCAAGTCAGACATGGGGAATCAGCCCTAGAGCAGGGTTTGGGAGGCCTGGCAGGCCAAGTACTAATTCTTTGATGCTGGGTTCCAGTGAAATGGTGGTGGGAGGAAGGAATGGTTTGGGGAAAGGGTTATAGCAGCTGAGGCAGAGGGGCAGGGTGTGGGAGAATTGGGGGACTTACTGTGGGGGACACTTAACAGCCAGTATGGAAGGAGTTCAATTTATTTTATTTTATTTTAAAGATTTTATTTATTTATTTGACAGAGATCACAAGTAGGCAGAGAGGCGGGGGCGGGGCATGGGGGGTGCGGGCAGCAGGCTCCCCGCTGAGCAGAGAGCCCTGACTCAGGGTTCAATCCCAGGACCCGGGGATCTTGACCTGAGCCAAAGGCAGAGGCTTAACCCACTGAGCCACCCAGGCGCCCCAGGAGTTCAATATTTTGAAATAATAATGTTATATTTATCGAAACAACTGAACATCAGGTCTGATCATACTTAAGTTGCTCAGATTGTTTTGCAGACTTCAGTATCTAGCAAACAAATTTTCAAGGTTTCAGAAGACTTAGCAGTCACATGGTTTT